TCCGTTGCCGGACACGGAAAAAAGACAAAAAAAGACAAAAAAAAAAAAAAAAAGAATGCTCTATACTCTAGAGGGAACTTCTTTTTCCGGTCTTCTTCCTGTTCCTGTCAGTGTCACCCCCACGACAGTTCTGCATCTTGTCAGTTGGTCCCAATCACCAGCTCCTTTTCTGCCACTCGAGCCCCATTACACCTGTCACCAGCAAGAGCACAAGCCAGTGCCCCCACCTCAGAGGTCTGAGTGCTTGATTCATGGGCCCCTCCTCTAAGCTCCTGAGGCACCAGCACCAGCCAGACAGAAATTCCTCCTCAAAGATCTGGATCCTATTTCTGTGGGGTGCCTTCTCTCAGCTCCAGGTCCTGGTGATCCCCACCCTTCCCTTCATTCAGTGCTTCTGGGTCACCTCTGTGTCTTCTCTGCCTCCTCAGCCCCAACGCCTGTTTAACCAATTCCTTATATTAAAGGCTCGCTGTTGAAACACCTAACTGGTTTCTGTCTTCCTGGCTGGACCCTGAAAGTAGGCTGTGGATGCCACCTAGCCACTAGGTTCCCCCCATGGATGTGATGGTACTAAATGGCAAAGGACAACTGTTTTCAGCCTACTGAGCGACAACCTCCTGCTCCAGTGAGGCAGCATGCAGCCTTCAGCTTCACACCAAGAGATACCGATCTCTGCCCTGGCCTCTTTGGATGGGACTGTGCAAATATTTGTGTCTGTCAGCCTGTGGCATAGTGCTTAATAGCAAGGACTCTGAAGGTAAACAGACCCGGATTTAAACCCTGGTGCCTTCGTGTCCAGCTGCACATTTCCTAAGGACTCTAAACCTTTCCTCATTTACAACACAGCAAGGTTGAGGCCCACCACGGTGGGTGTCACTGTGTGGGGGGTGAGCAGAAGTGATGTGTGTCACTTGAAAGGAATGGCCCAGCCTCTCCTTCATCTGTCCCTTCCTGTTGGCAAGACATGGTGACGATGGAGTGTGTCTTCAACCATGTAGCGAAGGCAGTGTCCAAGGGGAGCGAACAGAGAGAGGGAAACTGACAGGCCTTGGACTTTTTACTCTTGGACTGTTACATGAGAGATAAGCAAAATTATATTTTGAGCAGTCTGTTGAGTTATCATACAGAAGTGGAAACAATGTACTCGTGCAATGTACTCCCCACCNGGCATAGTGCTTAATAGCAAGGACTCTGAAGGTAAACAGACCCGGATTTAAACCCTGGTGCTTTCGTGTCCAGCTGCACATTTCCTAAGGACTCTAAACCTTTCCTCATTTACAACACAGCAAGGTTGAGGCCCACCACGGTGGGTGTCACTGTGTGGGGGGTGAGCAGAAGTGATGTGTGTCACTTGAAAGGAATGGCCCAGCCTCTCCTTCATCTGTCCCTTCCTGTTGGCAAGACATGGTGACGATGGAGTGTGTCTTCAACCATGTAGCGAAGGCAGTGTCCAAGGGGAGCGAACAGAGAGAGGGAAACTGACAGGCCTTGGACTTTTTACTCTTGGACTGTTACATGAGAGATAAGCAAAATTATATTTTGAGCAGTCTGTTGAGTTATCATACAGAAGTGGAAACAATGTACTCGTGCAATGTACTCCCCACCCCCACCCCAAAGAGTATATTTTTGCTCTTGGGACATTTCGTTAGAAGGTATTTCCACTCCCATCTCTAATTGACCATGCAGGTGTATTAGAAAATCCCACTAGGGTCTTTCTTCCTCAGCACCTTTGATGGGGTCTACAACTGGCTTGTCCCTGCTGGTTGACTATTAAAGGTATTTCAACAGCTCTTTCCAAAGGGAGAACAGTGCTGAGCAGACCACATAAAAGATGGTCCAAATAAAAACCTGGTTCCTTGCTGTCTTGGAGTCCCCACTCGATGTGGAGCATCCTCTCCTGCCACCACACCCTTCCCCATTCCTAACACATGACAGCGTGTCCCTGAAGCCTCCGTGTTCCCATTACAGCACTTACATTTGCTGAAATTAATCTCATACCTAACTCTCCCACTAGACTGTGAGCTTTTTCAAAGATAAGAACAGTGTCTTGGGCCAGTATACAATGCCTAGCACTTAGAAATGCTTAATCATATAAATACTTATTTTTAATTAACTCTTGATACCAAATACCTCTCCTTAGAATAAAGTTATGATGCAAAGGTTGTGACCACCATCTTCACCCTAGAGTCAGTCTGCAGGTTCAGTTGCACACACCTGCCCTCCATACTCACTGGCAACTTACTTTTATTCTGTTTGCAAACCACCATCAGGAGCCTGAGTTGAGTAGACAAAACAAGGCTTGAGGAAAGAAGCATCTGGATCCCAGACAGATGTTTTTCTGCTTGGAAACCTATGGCTAATGCCTGATAGCCAAGAATGCAGACAAAAATGGTAAGACCCAACATTTTACCCTTCCTATCTCCCTGCCTGTTTGGCTTCAGAGAAGCTTGAGTGAACCCCTTGTAGGGCCACAGTCTCCTCACTTTGTCACCAAGGTTCCTACTGTCTGAGAGATCGGCACTGGGGAGATCTGTGGACAGCACATACGGGTGGAATCAGCAGGCTGTCAGCAGACAGGAGCTGGAAACCTGCTGGGTCTGGTTTTGAACTTACGCTTCAGCTGTGATGTGGGAGTGGCCGTGCCTCTTCCGGAGGTTCCCATAGCTGAAGTGAGTGCCTTCGCTTGGCATCTTGCAGGGTGAGGGCAGAGGACACCTAACAGAAGGGGCACATGAATGTCACTTAGTGTATCCAAAGCATCCTTATTCACCATCTCATGAAGACCCACAAAGACAGTCTTGCTATGTGTCCCATATTGACAGCCAGGATGCTCTGGTTTCTCTCTGTAAGAGGATTTGTACCTGGTTCTTTCATTGATACCAAGAGCTTTAGAAATAGCGTGGGTTTCTAACCCCTTCCACTAACTGAAAATTAAGTTCGAAGAATAAACTACAGACAAAGCAAAATCTTTCAAATTCAGGTTTTTGTCTTGTTTTTCGTGGCTGACCGGTACAGGGATTGAACCTGGACCTTGGTGTTATT